TCCCAGAGATCTGCCTGCCTCTAATTTCTAAGTGTTGGGGCTAAAGACATGTGCCTGTTTTGTTTTGACTCCAATTTGCATTGCATATATACACACCCTTAAAGAAAACTGACCCTCTTTCCCCCAGGGGCTATCAAGAGTCCTAGCTCTTCAATTAAATATGGGGCTTATTCCCCCAAAGATCTATGGGTTAGACTTGTCTCCAAGCTAGTGACACTACTGAGAGGGGACTGGCTCATTAGTACGCTAAAATCAAGGGTGATCTATGGATGAGCTCACAGCTGGCTGGGCTCTTAGGGGGAGGGACCTAGTTGGGGAAGTAGGTCACTGGGAAGTGTGACTTTAAAGGCTATACTTATCCTCAGCCATGTCCTCACACTCTGCTTCCTGCTTCCCCACCACTTTGACAAGAGCAGGTCTGCTCTGCCACACCCTTCTGCCACGAGCTGTCCCTCCACAAGTCCAGAGATGATGGAGCCAACCCTCACCCCCACCCCTGGCCTGAAACCACCAGCCAAACTAAATCTTTTCTCTTTTTCAGTTGTTTTTCTCAAGTATTTTGTCAGAGCAAAAATCACAGAAAGGTGACTTACACATTGCCCAGGGCACAAACTCAGCCAGTTTTTTTTGCTCCTGGGCGGATGGCTACTGTTTGCTACTTCAAAGAGAAGGCTCTCCCTGTGGGGGAGGAGGAAGACCATCTAGCTGAAAGTGTTGGCAAAGAACACCAAAGCTGGGGAATCATAGATGCCCACAAACTCTGGTGGGGAGTGAGCTGCAGAAGCACAGCGGGAGGTGGAGGAGGAACCCTGAGGAGGTTGGGTCTAGGGATAGCCATAAAAATAGAACAGCCCCCAGCACTGACAAACCCCAACCCCACAAGCATCACGGGACCTGTGGCATTGAAGGAAGGTGACTGAGAGCATAGAGAAACCTCTCTGAGGTGTCACTCACAGCTGAGGGTGGACCATGACAGGGAAATATCTTCACAATAAATCCCAAACAGTAGGAGACTTACTGGCTGCCCTGCTCTGAGGACAACTAAAGGCATTGATGCCAGCTTGGTACCAGCGAACACACCAAAGAAGGCATGGCTGTTCCCAGGTGTACAACTGCTTATTTCCATCACCCACAAAATTTCCCCATTTCAACAAAAACACAGCCTGCACACACTTATATAGCATATATGTACATGTGTGTGGAGATATCACTGTATTCTGCAGCTGCATACACTGGCATAATATGGGTATAATATGGCTATGTGTGTTCAGACAACACCAGCAAAAGAATGCCATCAGAACAACCAGGTCAGGTGGGGCACACACTGAAACTTAAATAGCCACAGCAAACATAACAAATAGTGGGGAAGGAGGGCAGTGTACAAGAGCAGACAGCTTCTGCAAGGAGACTGCTGGGAGCAAGGAGAAAATTCAAGTGAAAACTGGCCAGGGAGATGAGATGCCTTTATGGGCTCGCTAATGACTTGGCACAGCAGAGAAAGTCAGCCAACCAGATGGGTCAGTAACCATGCCACGGGTTGAACTGCAAAGAGGCAAAAAAGAAAGGGTGGTGCTGGGTGTGGTGGCACAGTCCCAGCACTCAGGGGGCAGAGGCAGGTAGCTCTCTCTAAGTTCTGTGCCAGCCTGGTCTATGTAGTGTGACTCTGCCTCAAATAAAGTGTTGGAGGGAAGGTGATCCGGGGGATGCTTAGTGGGTGAGAGAGCTCACAAACATGAGAGCCTGGGTTCAGATCTCTGACACCCACCCAAAAACCAAATGTGTCCCTATGCCTGTAACCCCAGTGCTTGGTGTGGTATAGATGGGGAGACAGGAGATCAGCCAAGCCTAGCCAGGTTCAGTGAGAAACTCTGTCTCAAGAGAATAAGATAGAGAGATGAGGACCCAAGGTCCTCTGATGGCCTTTGCACACACACACACATGCATACATGTACATCTGCATACACTCTTGCACATGTGCACATACACATGCATGAACATATGTACACACACACACACACACACACACACACACACACACAAAGACACAAAGAAAAGGGGAGAGAGCCGGCCATTGGTGGCGCACGCCTTTAATCCCAGCACTCGGGAGGCAGAGGCAGGTGAATCTCTGTGAGTTCGAGACCAGCCTGGTCTATAAGAGCTAGTTCCAGGACAGCCTCCAAAGTCACAGAGAAACCCTGTCTTGAAAAAAAAAGAAAAAGAAAAGAAAAGGGGAGAGAAACTGAGTCAACCTAGAGCTGTGGACATTAAACTCTATCACATCTGTAACTGGGACCTGGGAAAGAAGCCTAGAAAAGCAAGCAGTGCAGACAAAATATTCAAAGGAACAATGAGGGAGAAGTGACACATCCAAAGAGTTCAGGGAGGTCAAACAGTGTGACTACCATTAGAAAAGAATCCAAGACGTAATACTCAACCACTGAATATCCAAGACAGAACCTCATGAAACACCAGAGAACCCACAGAAGGCAAAGAAGTCTGGTTGGACATCAAGCAAGTCAGGGCTGGAGGGGGGAAAAAAGGAAACTTTCAACCCAGAATTCCATGCCCACTGCAGATGCTTTTCAACAAATAAGTAGACAATAATGTCTTTCTTGAACAAAGAAAACCCAGAGACTTTCGCTGCAGGAACTGTCAAAGGATGTTCTTCAAACTAAAGGAAGACAATGTTGGACAAAAGCATGGATCTGCACAAAGAGCACTGGAAACTGAGCAAATTAAGGTAAAAATAGAACTAATTCTTCCCTTACTAACAATGTTGCTGAAAGATAACATACATCTAAAGAAAAAATAGTAATGCAGTGTTTGTTTGTAGTGTGGTATAGATTATAATGTGTGACAATGGCCCAGATAATAGAAGGGAGGAGATGAGAAAAAAACAGTTATAAATTCCTACCATGAGGGCTGGAGAGATGGCTCAGCTAAAAGCACTGGCTGCTCTTTCAGAGCACCCGGATTCATTACCTAGCATCCATATGGTGGTGTATAAACATCTGAAACTCCAGTTCCAGGGGATCGATACCCTCTATTGGCCTTTGCAGTCATCCTACACACACACACACACACACACACACACACACACACACACACACACACACACACACACACACACGAATAATAAAAAACAAGTCTTTAAAAATATTTCTACCATGATACATAAAACAGTGTGACATTATTTGGTAGTCATTGTTGAAGTAACTGGTGTGTGTGTGTGTGTGTGTGTGTGTAAAATACAACATGATATGTTATAATGTGTAATAAAATCTGCCATTGTTTATAAAGGAGATATAAATAATCCAGAGCTAGGGATGTATTTTAGTGATATAGTGCTTGCCTAAAACACACGAGACCCTAGCTTCAAACCTTGAGACAATCAAAGAAAGATGGATTGATTTTAATAAGCCAAAACCAGAAACAAAATGGTACAATAAAAAAATACTCATGGGCTGAGGAGATGTCTCAGTAGTTAAGAACACTGGCTGCTCTTGCAGAGGACCTGGGTTCAATTCCCAGAAGCCCATGGCAGCTCACACATGTCTGTAACTCTAGTTCCAGGTGATCTGACAGCTGACAAACGTGTGTGCAAGCATGTCACACACACGCTGACACAAACACACACACATAAAATAAAGTAAATAATTTTTTAAAGCAGAAAGAGAACTATGGGTACAGTCAGTGACGGGTAGGGCACTTGCCTAGCATGTGCAAGGGCCCTGGGTTCATCCCTAACCCTGAAAACAATAAATAGGATCCTGAAAGGAAGCTAACACAGTAAACAGTATGGAACACATACTCATGGTTCGATTCGTAAGGCTGCTCTCCTTACGGTTAGGGAAGGCCTATGAGGAGGGTTTCCTCTCTTGCCACTCTGACTCCACATTTTTCACTGGAAAGCTCTGCCAACATAATATTTTTAAAGGCATGCATATTTTAAGGGAAGAAATAAAATTATATCTATTCACAGTGACATGGGTGTTAAATAGACCCCCCCAAAAAAAAACCCACAGGAAACTAAGTGTGGGTTGATGCCAAGAACTGAGCTGAGCTCTCGAACAACTGTAATGAGGTAATAGAAATAATTTTCCAAAAAGCTCCACTTGCAGTAACAAAGTAGTTGCAACAAAACATGTATAGTCTATAAAGCTTAAAGTCACAAAACACTGGAGGTTGGGGAAATGGCTCAGGGATTAAAGTACTTGCCACTCAAATGTGAGGACCAGTGTCCTGGTCCTCAGGGCCTACATAAGTGCCAAATGGACATGGTAGCTCACCAATAACTCCAGACTTGCAAAGCAGAGGCAGGAGATCCCCTGAGTAAGACTAATCATATCAGTGAACTCTGGGTTTGATTGAAAGAGCCTGCCTCGATGAATAATGTGGAAAAGCAATGGAGGATAAGTCCCAACAGCAGCCACGTCCTCCACATGCACACACACATACATGTGCACACACAAAAAAAATGGAAAAAGAAAAAAAACCCTACAAACTGCTGATGATAGAAATCAAATAAAGATCAGAATAAAGCAGACAAATACCCATGGGTGATTCAATTTTAAAATGCCAGTCCTTCTCGAGTCGTTCTAAATATTCCCAAATTGATTCTAAAAATCCCAACAGAATTTTCTTTTCTGTGAACAATGAGCTGTTGACAGTAAAGATAACTCAGAAAGTGAAAGGCACACCACAACACTCATTAGGGAATCCACAGTCACCACCTCACAGCTATTCCATTTGACTTTCCTTAAAGCTGGGACCACATGGTATTGGATGAAAAGACAGATTTATTGGTCAAAGGGCAGACTAGATCCCTGAAGTAGACTCCTGTAAGTATGATCAGTCGAGTTTGGGCAAGATGCCAAAGTGATTACATGGAAAAGGGTGGTGCTGGAGACTTCTTGTCCTAGGAGGTACAGACAGATAGATGTCCATGTACCCAGACAGGGCACTAATGACAGACCAAAGAAAATGATTCCTCCCAAATCTAGCTTAGCAGTTGGTGAGTTTATTTTCCTAATTAATTTCCATTGCTTGATAAACACCATAACCAAAAGCAGTTTGTGGATGGAAGGGTTTATTTCATTGTATACTTTGTAGTCCATCTTGGAGAGAAGTCAGGTCAGAAAGTCAGAACAGGAACCTGGAGGCAGGAACTGCAGCAGAGGCCACAGAGGAGGGCCGCTTACTGCTTCCCTCCTCCTGGTATACTCAGCCTGCTTTCTTAAATAATCCAGGACTGCCTGCCCACATGAATTGGGCTCTCCCACATCAGTCATTAATGAAGAAAATGCCCCGCAGACTTGCCTATAGGCCAATCTTATGGAAGGGTTTTCTCAATTGAGATTCTCCTTTCCCAGATGATCCTAGCTTGTGTCAAACTGAAAAATAAAACAAGTCATCTGACCAGCTCAGGTGACTTACAGGAAAAGGAACCAGGGATGTTGTGAAGATGGATGAGGGTTTACTTACAAGTGTATGGGTGACTCAAAGGCAGTTGCATCAGAAAAAACCACTGACTTTAGGGTCGTTAAACTTCCCATCTTCAGGCTTGCCTTTTAGAGACTCATTCATATCTCTGTGCATGAGGATATGTAGGTGTGACAACCAAAAAGTTCTTCAGACATTGCCAAATGTCCACTGGGGAAGCAGCACCCCAGAGCTGGAAACACCGTGGCTACCAGAGGGTTCCTACCCAGGACACCTGTGCACAAAAGAAAGAAGTTATGTGCTAGATTTTTTTTTTGTATTTAAAATGTGAATAGCAATGCTAAGAAGAATGCAGGCTGGAAGAAAATGTTTGTAAAGCCCATAGCTGGTCCAAGGCCTCCACCTGGAATACACAGAGAACCATGAAAACAGCGACAAGATAGCCAGCGTCATAGGGACACAGAGATGGCATAGAGTTATAAGCATTTCCTGCTGTAGGGCATGGTGGCACAAGCCTTTAATTCCAGAACTCAGAAGGCAGAGGCAGGCAGAGATCTGTAAATTCAATGTCAGCTTAGTCTACAATAGGAGTTCCAGGACAGCCAGGGCTATATATAGAGATCCTGTTTCAAAAATCCAAAACCAAAATCAAACAGGCAAACAAAACCTACAGAGAGCATTGTCTGCTCTTGCAGAGAACCCATGTTCAATTGACAACACCCACAAGGCAGCCCAGAACCTCCTGTGACTTCTGTTCCAGGGAATCTGAGCCCCTCTTCTGGCTACTGTGAACACTGCAAGCAATGCACGTGGTACACATATTTACATACAGACATAACATCCATAGACATTAAATTAAACTTTAAAAATAAGTCTTCTGGCTTGTGTATGTGGTGTCTCTGTGGCTGTAGGTGTGTGTGTATGTGTGTGTGTGTGTGTAGATTGATATTGGTATCTTCTGTGTGGCAGATTCTCTCACTTAAACCCAGAGCTTGATGGTTAACTAGCTAGCAGGCTGGATCCAGTGATGCCCTATCTCCACCTACCTGCCAACAGTTACATGGGTTCTGGGGATCTGAACCTGAGGGCAAGTGCTTTCCCTGATGAACTGCCTCCCCAACCCAGAAAATAAAATTTAAAGACAGATAATATCTGAGAAATGATACCTGAGATGGTCCTCTGGCTTACACATACAGAAACATGCAAAACACACACACACACACACACACACACACACACACACACACACACGTGAGTGCACACACACGAGTGCATACACACACAGAAATCTGCAAAGCAACCATCAAGATGGCTCAGCCAGTACAAGTACTTTTGCATAAGCCTAGCCACCTGAGTTTGATCCCTGGGACCCATGTAAAGAAGGAAAGAGAGAACCTACTCTACAGAGTTTCCCTCTGACTGCCACACACAGGCATGCACACCCATACACATCATGCACACACATAACAATAATAGTAATAATAATAATAATAATAAAATTACAAAGGGCTTAAACAAATACCCACCAAAGAAGAGATATGCATGGCAAATCAATGGCTGAAAAGGTATTCCACACCATTAGGTGCTAAAGAAGTGAGCTTGGCTCTTGTTCTTCAGCTGCCTGTAGGCGTACAGAGAGGCTGAAATTAAGGCAAATGATGGCAGCTAACACCAACAGCCATATATAGTTGCATTCACATTCTGCCCAAGCTCAACTGGCCATATTCATAGGGTCTACTCCTGAGATCTGTTCTACTCCATTGATCTAGAAACCAACCCTTTCACTCAACACCATATGGACAGATGGACATATGGGCAGGTGGGGGACCAATGCACCATGCTATTGGAGGTGTAGATCAATTTGTGTGCTGGGATGGTCTCTGCCTTATGGGGTGTCAAGAGTAAGGGATGTTACTTATACAATTCAACCCGTTCAGGAATGTGCAGGTGTGTCTATATACACAACTTTTTTGTCTGTGCATGTGTGTGCTATGTGTATGTCTGTGTGTGTGTGTGTGTGTGTGTGTGTGTGTGTGTGTGTGTTTCAGCATGTCTGTGTAACTGTATGTGTGCCTGTCTCAATTCATCTGTGTACATGTATGTATCCATCCATGTGTCTCTCAGAGTATCTGTGTGTACTAGAGTGTGTCTGTTTGTGTTTCAGAGTCTCTTTATAATTCTGTGTGTGCATGTGTGTGTTGGAGTGTCTGCATTTATCTGGGTGTCTGAGTTACTTTTCTATTGCTATGATAAAACACCATGACCACAGCAACTTATAAAAGGAATTGTTTAATTTGAGGATTAGGATTTCAGAGAGCTAAAATCCATGACCACTGTGTTAGAAGTATGGCGGCAGGCAGGCAGGCACTGAAATGAGAGCTTACGTCTTGATCTGTAAACACAGGCAGAAAGAGATAACTGGGAATGGTGTGAGCCTTTGAAACCTCAAAGTCCACCTCCAGTGGCAGACCTCCTCCAAGGCCGAACTTCCTAATCCTTCCCAACATTTCCACCAACAAGGGATTAGGCATCCAAACATATGAGGAGCCTATGGGGACCATTCTCATTCAAACCACCACACTGGATGTGTGTATATATGCATGCTTTGGGGCATCTCAGCATGAATCTGTGTGTGTGTTTCAGGGTGTCTTACATGTGTCTGATGTGTTTGGGAGGGTCTAGAATGTATCTGGGTGTGTTTTTGAAGTGTCTGCATGTATATGGATATGTGCATGTGTGTGTGTGTGTGTGTGTGTGTGTGTGTGTGTGTGTTTTGGGAGGCCTCCGTATGAATCTCTGTATGTCAGGGTGTCTCAAAGGTATCTGGTTGTGTGGAGGTAGATATTTGTTTGGAGTGTCTGCATGTATCTGGGTATACATGCATACCATGTATGTGCGTTTTGGGATGCATGTATCTGGGTGTATGTGTTTTGTGGTGTCTGGCATGTGTCTGGGTGTGTGATTTTGGAGTGTCTGGGTGTATCTGGGTGTATACATGTACATATATTTGTTTCAGGATAACTCTGCAAGTACTCAGGTATATGCATATATGTGTGTTGGTGTGTTTCTGCATGTGTATGAGTGTGTGGTACACCACAGGGTCTTTGTGCTTGTGCCATTCCTGTGTACAAATGCAGGAGGGAGGGGCAGCACTTGGCTGCCTGGTGTCTTGTGAGTAGAGCCCTGGGGCTGAGGGCTGGGCTTGAGTGGCCAAGGCGTTTCCAGCTTCAAATGAAGCAGAGCAGAAACAGAAGCTGGAATCCACCCCCAGTGGCTGCCCTGCCCAGAACAGGTTCAACCTGAACCAGTCTGGTGCTGTTTGGGGGTGGGGTGGCTGCCATCACAAGGGAAAGGAAGGCCAGACCTTGGGGGTGGTGCTGAGTTTGTCTGCCACCCTGCATCCAGGCCTGCTACCTACTGCCTGTCATCTCCCTGATCTGTCTTTGCTGGTTTTAAGTTTACCAGACCTGTCTTCCCTGGAGTCCTTAAACTAGTCGAGTCCTGGGGTCTCCCTGACTCTGCCCTTCAGTTCTGCACCAGTCCAAGTCTTCTCCAGGGCACTGAACATGCCTGAGTGAGGTCAATGGCCCCACATCTGCTCCTAGCTCAACTAGCCTCCCTATCATCATCGATACCAACTGTTCAAGTCCTATATCCCTCCTACAGGCACCCTGTGTCTACTCCAGAAGTGCCCTGTCCCTAGGCTGGGCTCTGGAACCCATACACCAGATCACTAACAACTCATGAGGCCTCAAATGAACTTTAAAACGGCCATTGTTCCTCAATATCCCAGAGGCCCTCCAGTTCCTGTCCCTCAGGATGCTGACAAAGAGAAAAGGGTCCTAATATCCCTTCATCCCTTTTCTGCCCCAGGCAGGCAATGTTCCAGAGCCACCATGGGAGGGAGGTGCCATGCTGGTCTGTGTGTCCCGGTATATCCCAGTCATGACTCCTCTAGAGAGTAAATGACTTGGCCTTTTTTAAAAGTGGAAGATCTGTTAAGGTGGTGGTTTATCCATCTGTCTGATGTTGGTTGGTTGACAGAAGGTCTCTTATGTTGCTCAGACTAGACTTAAACTCTCCATGTTTTGCCACAGTCTCCTACTCACTAGAAACAGAGGCCTGTGCAATTATGCAAGTGAATCTGCCTTAGAGGCCAATCAAGCAAGAAGGACCTCCTTGACCTTTAGGAATGAGTACCTCAACCAGATGCCTGATCCCAGGCTTCGGTAAGAAGACAACAGCATAAGCCAGCTCCCATCACAGGACTTCCCAGCAGCCAAGGCTGGATGATAAGAAACAAGATGGAGCCCATCCATCTACCAATGCACCCTCACAACTCATACTTTTTGGGTATCATCCCAATGCCCCAATATCTCAGCCAGACGTCAAGCCCTGGATCCCTACAGCTCTGCTCAGGTGCCCTCAGTGACTATCCCTGACAGAAACGCAAGATGTCGGTCTAGCCTGATTCCTTTTGGGTACCAACAGAACATAGCAGGAAGCCCAAGTTCGCAGACACACACTAGTCAAGAAAGCCATGACAGCATTGTCTATAGCCGCTGAACCATGGGCCACTGTCAGTAGCAGAGAGAAGGACAGACCCTCATGTGGTCAACAGTGGCCATCTTCAGAGACCACAGCAGTCAATGGCTAGCAGGCTCGTGTGTGTGCTTTGTTCAAATGAAGTTCAAGAACAGCCCCTAGGTGTGGTAACAGATGGCAGGACATGGCAGGAATGGGGCCAAATCTCAGGGAAGCCTGTGGCTCTAGAAGGATTGGGCGTGGTGACTGAGGGATCGTCCAAATGCAGATGAATGCAGAATTCTGCAGCGCGCAATCACACTCCTGCTCAGACTCAAATGAAAGATGTTAGCCATATTCCTGGACCTCCAAGACTTACATGTCCAGAGTACCCCAGAAAAGGGGAGATTCCAGGGTAGATACAGGGTAATGGCAGGCTTGTGTCCCTGGGGAAGCAGACTCAGAGCACTCTCATGAGGGGATGTGGCACTCTCCTCAAAGAGGCCTTTGCTGCAGATCTTGGGAGCCAGACATGGGTTGCTCTAGGTCTTGGGCCACCTAGATTGAACCCAAGGCTCGTGCCTCAGTCCAATCTAATCTCCAGTATACATAACCCCTCTTCTTTTACAACACAGAGGTAGCCAGAATGTGATGGCCTTAGGGAGGTGGGCAGAGCTCCAGGAATCTTGCCCCCAATAGCAGGATGGACAGAATATTTGGCACAGGCCTGAAACTTGCCCCTCTACATTC